GGCCTTCACAACATCCTCTGGCAAGGAGTTCCACAGGTTGACTGTGCGTTGTGTGAAAAAATACTTCCTTTTGTTTGTTTTAAACCTGCTGCCTATTAATTTCATGAAGAAAAAGGCGAGGGGAGGAATTGATCCATTTCTGTCATTTCCCCCCGAGCGCTACTGATGTACTTTGTTATTGTTTATTATTGGCATTATCCTGGCTCCTTGGAGCCCTAGTCCTGGCCCAGAATCCCTCTGTGCTAGGTGCTGTATGGACACAGAACAAAAAGACAAGTCCCAAAGAACTGGCAATCTAAGCAGTGAAATTGTTGTGATCTACTGCTGAACAGCCAGGTACTATTACCGGTCTCTCTCATCCATAGGATATGCATGTCACACGCCAGCTCTTCGTGATTTCATTGCCCTTGATGAAAACCCAGCATTGGCAGCAGCAGGTGAGTCCAGCATTGCCCAGAGGGATGGAACGGGCCCGATGGGAACTCGCTGCAGGGTGGCCAATGACAGCGCCAGGGGCCGTGTCTCACTGCAGCCCTGCTGGACTTTTCCCTAAGGGAAGCTGGGGTCAGCGAGATCAGAATCCGGCCCTGACTCCATTGACACCAGTGGGGTCACTCCAGATTTACCCCACGGTCACTGAGGTCAGAATGTGGCTTAATTTTTTCAGCGTTTTGGCCCTTTCCCTCTGTTTTGCCCTGCAGGATCTTTCGATGACGAGACTGAGCCCACCCCTAGTTCTGCGGCAGGGACAGCTGAGGCTGAAGGTGGGTGGCACTGATCATTTGCTCCTCAGCTTCTACCATACGCACTGGCCCATCACAGCCAGAGGTTCTTCTGCCCTCCCAGTGCCAATGGGGCACCTTGTTCCGGGCAACCATAATTCTGTACAAGCAACTGTGCACAGCCTCCGAGTCCAGTAGGTTCAGGATTCTCCTTCACCGCCTGCCCCTAACTCCCAGTGTCACCGTGTGGCTGTTAGGCAGCCGCTGCGCCCCACCCCAGAAGCAGCTGCATTTCACTGCTCAGTGAACAATCCCTGTGCGATGATGTTGGTGCATCTCTCACCCAGCTGTCACACCTCAGAGGTGGCTGTGTTTCAGCAGTGGAGATGCTATCTCTGCGCAGTGTTGCTGTGAGGCAGTTACACAGCTGCTGTGTCCCACCCCAGAGGTGGCTGCACATGTAGCCTTGGAAAGCAGTTTGAGATGAAAGAGGCCTGGGAAATAGATGCTAATGACGTTATTGACATTATTAATAATTCATCCCTCCCCAGAGATCATCTGCGAACAGACCGTGCTTCTCTCCGCTGGGGCTGCCGGTGAGTGAGGTTGAAATGGACCAGGTGGCGGGTGGTCTGAAGGGCCTCACTCATGGTTGAGCAGAGAGAAACCAAAAATATCCCCTTGTGGCTCTGACCATCCCCTAATCAGATCTTGTCTCTGCCCCCAGCACCTGCATCAGGTTTAATCTCCACTGTCTGCAGGATCACTCTGGGGTCTCCTCTCCCACCACTCCACCTGCCCCACATCCCTTCCACTCCTCTCCCTTTTACGCCCTGATCCCCCTCCCTGACCCCGTCTTTCCCACCCACCCTCTGACCCAGCATAGAGCCCTTCCCACGGGCCTTGCGAGCCCAGCGCTCTGTGCACAGCGGCAGTGGCAGGGCTGGGCAGACACACAGAACAGACCCATCCGCAGGGGAGTTTGCTGATGGAAATGCTCAGGTCCCATTGCTCTGCACAGGGGATGGGGGCTCCTTAGTTAATGCTGTGAGAATGTGAGATGTGAAAGGGCCTTTCACTCTCTCAGCCGCAGAAGAGACCAGCCTGAGTGAGGATCCCAGCAGGGACCCCTGGGGACAGGACAAATGTGACTTGTGTCCCAGAGAGGAGGTAAAGAATTGTGGGATCACTCAGATCCTTGTCTGTCTGTCCATCTATCAGCACTTCCTTTCTCTCTTTCTCTCCCTCGCCTCAGCCATACCTCTGAGTATTTCACCAATGCTCTGGGCTGGGGCATCTCGGGCACCTGGGAAACACCCCTGGGGGAATGACTGACTGTGGGGCTGGAATCCAGCTGATCACAGAGTCCCCCCTGCCAGCCACTCTGCCAGGGTCCCAGGCCACAGAAACAGCCCCCAGCGGAACACTTGGCCACAGCTGCCCAGTTACCTCTGCAAAGAGCTCTGCAGTGGGAAATCCCCAGTGAGGCCGAGTTAACGCCTGTTCCTGTGTTCTAGGGGCCTCCAGAAGAAATACAGCCTGAGACTGTTCGGGGCCCAGATGGGAAGCAGGAGACGTACAGGTGAGAGCTGGTCCTGGGAGTCCGGTGTCACCCCCCTGCAGCAGTGTCTGGGAGCACAGGTCAGCTCCCGCAGCATCCCATGGGGTGGGCTCCATGTAAAGAGACACTCGTGTGGGTGGGTAGAGCAGAGCAGGGGGTGAATGAACCAGGAGTCTTGAGAGCTCTAGGAAGGGAGTGGGGTCTAGTGGGTCAGAGCTGAGGGGCAGGGGCTGGGAATCAGGACTCCTGGGTTCTAGCCCCAGCACCGAGAGGGGAGTGGGGGTTTAGTGGCTCGGAGCAGGGGAGCTGGGACTGAGGAGATCTGGGTTCTACTCTCAACTTTGCCACTTCCTCACTGAGTGACCTAGGACAAGACACTTCTTCCATGCCTCAATTTCCCCAAATGGTGAGACAGTGTTCCCCTATGTGATGCGGAGGAGTGTAATGAATCCACTCATTTAGCCTGACTCTCCTCGGAGGGACAGTCTGAGAAGGACCAACTGTTCTCATGGTCACCCAACTTCAGTGGTTGGTTACAGAGTAACCCTGATATCGAAGCACAGGCCTGAGCTGGAGGCAGAGTTAAGGGGATAAACGTGAGGGCACCTGGGGTCAGTTGGAAAAGGACGTGAGATGGTTGCAGCCAGTGCTGTTTAACCCTTTTCTCCCCACGCCGTGCAGGGTTCACCTCCTGGGGCCAGGCTCCTTCCTTTGCTCTGAAACCGAACTGGGGTTCGAGGTGAGGGCAGCCGTGACCATTCAGTACGGATACGACTCCTGGGATCGGCATCTGAGCACATCTGAGAAGCAGCACTGGATGGTGGCCGGCCCTTTGTTCGACATCCAAGTGGAACCAGCCAGGGCCATGGCAGCCGTTCACCTCCCGCACTTCCTGTGCCTGGCGGGTACGGCCGGAAATAATCAACGTCGCAATAACTGTGCATGGTAATGGCAAGCCCGGTCGCCCGTGTGCTTGCAATCACCGTGGGAACGGTAACTCTAGAAACCCAGCCATGAAAGCCACACTGACCCATAACCACCGGCTCCTGAGTCGGACCCATGGTGACACTATGAGTTGTAATCTTAGACCAATCAGGGTTTTAGCTACATCACAGCCTGAAACAGAGCCCTAATCATAGAGAGAACCCAGGAGTCCTGTGCGCCCAATCCCCCCTTCTCTAACCCATCAGAGACCCCCACTGCCCTCCCCAGAGCCAGGGTAGAACCCAGGAGTCCTGGATCCCACCTGGCCACTCTACTTACCTACCCACGCGTCACCTTTGTTTGCTTTATAATCCACCCACAGGGGGAGAGGTCGATGCCTCCCGGATGCGAATTGCCCATTTCGTTGACGGGGGGATGACCCTGGAGGAGCCAACGGGGGTGAGGCCGTTCCACGCCGTGCTGCAGAACCCCAGCTTCTCCCCTCTGGGCGTGCTCTGGAGGAAGATACAGTCTAAATGCCAGGCAAAAGTCCACTCCCTGGCACTGCTCTACCGGGCGCTCAGGGCTGCGAACACAACCCTGCACCTCTACCTGATTCCCAACGACCGTTCCCTGAGACAGGTAACCGGGAACCGACCGCACACACCCGGGGGGAGCCAGAGCCACCAGTCAGCCTAGAATGTGAGAGAGCAGATAGCAGGGCATGCGGGCACTGCCCACAGAGCAGCAGAGGAAATCCATTGTGCTGGGCGCTGCACAGACTCCACCCGAGATCAGGGCCCCCCTTGGGCCGCGCGCTGCACAGACCCCAACTGAGATCGGGGCCCCCCTTGGGCCGGGCGCTGCACAGACCCCAACCGAGATCGGGGCCCACCTTGGGCCGGGCGCTGCACTGGCGCATCAAGTGAGACAGTCGCTGCCCCTAGCAGTTAACAATCTAAATAAACCAATGGAGGATTATTCATCCCATTTCACAGAGGGGAAGCTGAGGCCCAGAGAGATTCAGTGGTTAGCCCGAGGCCACACGGGGAATCTGTGGAAGAGCCAAGGGCTGAACCCGACTCCCCTGGGTCCCAGCCCAGCGCCTTAACACAAGCCAACCTTTCCCTCTCATCGTGGGCGGCTGTGCGGGAAGGCCGGGGGAAGCAGGACCCTGATGGCAGGAACCTGTACACAGGGCTGTGTCTGTATCCCCCAGCCATGGCTCTGCTTGTGCCCTACAGGCCGTTAGTGACCATGAGTCCAAATGCCCCTCGGTGCGTGTGCACAAGCCTTCCAGGACCAAGCCCTTGAAATTTGGCTCCTGTTGTGTGGTGTCCAGCTCATCCCTGCTTGAGGTGATACCTGAGGTGAGTGACAGGCTTAAAATCACCAGCCCCTCAAGTCCGTACTCTGTTCTGTCCCAGGGTGGCACTAGGGGGCGCTGTGCTGCAGGGAGAAGGGCAGGGACTCAGTAGGGGGCACTATCCCCTCACAGCCATTTTTGACCCCCAGTACCTCAGGGTGGCACTAGGGGGCACTGTGCTGTAGGGAGCAGGGCAGGGGCTCAGTAGGGGGCGCTCTCCCCTCACAGCCAACGCTGACCAGATGCCCCAGCATGGCGTGCCTCTGATGCACTGCAGGAAATGAAGTGTAGGGGGGAGCTCAGGAGTGTCTGCTGGCTCAGGCAGGGTCATTCCTAATGGACCGTCTTCTCTTCCCATCAGGAGCTGGAGTTCTGTTATCTGGGCCCCACGCTGGAGCAGCCGTACCTGGAGATCTACACCCGGGACATGCAGGAGGGGCTGCAGATCAGCCTGTTGGAAAAGATAGAAGGGGAACCCATCTGGAAGGCCTTGGTGAGACCAGGTAGGCTCAGCCCAGCCGGAGATGGGGACAGAAGTGTGTGCATGGGGACGGGGGGGGAATGAGTGGAGAGATAGAATGGTGCATATACAGATGGAGGGATGAATGGGTGTGTCTGGGGATGGATGGGTAAGTGTATGTGGGTGGATGCATGCATGCATGGAGGGATGAATGGGCGTGGATGGAGGGTGGCTGGGGATGGATAGACAGATGAATAGATAGACCAGCAGCTAATGAAATAGGATTATTTAGATTAGCTAGATTAGCCAGATCAGCATATGAGGATCCAGGGATGTAGCTAGCTAAATAAACCAGCACCCTAGGGTCTAGTGATGGGTGGATGTTTTGCTGCAACATGGTGGCAATAAATACATAAACTACGATGTGACTATAGCCAATCAGATCGAACAGTCCCCGCTAGGACGTTACCAGCAGCAGCAGCATTAATCAAACCCCTTTGGATCCAGCCCGCTGACTCCCCTTCCCTTCTCTCTTCCAGAAGACGTGATGGTCTGTGTTTCATCTGCCCAAATGCAGACAGGTTAGTAGGGATTCACTGAGCTGCAAAACCTGCTCTCCGATCCCAGCCCTTCTGGACACACAAGGCTTGTGAAAGCCCCTGCGACCTTTTGTGATCATTTGGCGTCCAGCGTTATTGATCCTCCCACAATATCGACTTGTCTTGAAATCTCTGGCGCCTGGGGACTCTCCACATTGGAAAGTTGCAAGATTGCTTTGGATCATGAATAGAGCCGGGCAAATAATGGAGTTGTTTGTTTGCTTTGGCAGCTCCGAAAACCTGGACGGGTGGGGGTGGAATTCATATCGGGTCGAATTAACTGTTTCATTTGACCCGAAATGGAAATGTTTTGATTTCAGCTCTTTTTAATAAAGCAAAGGAAATGCAGGGCTGGATTCACAAACTAGGGGCGGGGCTCTAACGCCTTATACCTAGTGTTAGAGCACTCACCTGGGACGGGGAGACCTTGGTTAAAATTTGTGCTCTGGAGGAAGAATTTGAACCTGGGTCTCCAACATCCCAGCAGAGAACCCTGACCTCCAAGCTATAGTCTATTCTGAGGAAGCCCTTAGTCTCTCCGGTTGAAGCTGTTCCATTGTCTATAAAAACGTGAATAGTCATTGGACCAAAGAGAGCTCATGAGAAAGACTCAATAACCCAGTGTTTGGGGCACTCACCTGCAAGATCGATTCCAGTCCCTGTTCTCTGTCCTTCCCCACTCCAGAGGCAGCTGCAATTCACCACTTCACGAGTGATCCTTGTGCACTACTGTTACTAAACAGCTGCCATGTCCCACCCCAGAGGCAGGTGCATTTCACTGCTCAGTGAGCAATCCCTTTGTAGCACTGCTGCTGTGCTCCACCCCAGAGGTGGCTGCAAGTCAGGGCTGGGGGAGCAATCCGTGGCAATGAGTGATGTGATGCTTGCATCGGAAGCCTGTAAATCTTGTACAAAGCTTGGAATCCATTCGGCCCTAGAGAAACGGAAGGTCTGACTGTTCCAAGGCATGATGAGAAATATAGCAATTCTCTTTTTCTCTCTGTCTCTCCCCTCAGAAGAACATTTCATCGACCAGCACCGAGAACAGCTGATCCAACGGGTGCGCCGGGTGGACGGCTTGCTGGATAAACTGTACAACACCGTGCTGGACAACGAGCAGTACCAGAGCATCCGAGCGGAGAGAACGGACCCGGAGAAAATGCGGAAGCTCTTCGACCTGCTCCCGAGTTGGAACCGGGCCTGCAAGGACCAGCTCTACCAGGTGCTGGAGGCCAAGCAGAAATTCCTCATCCAGGAGCTCAAGGGGACATAAGACTAGGCTGCCCTGGCTCACACCAGGGGCCTATCTAGCTCAGTATCCTGTCTGTGACAGGGGCCAGTACCAGCTACTTCAGAGGAAGGTGCAAGACCCTCCTCCTTGACAATTCTGGACTAATCTGCCCATGTTGGGTTAAACCCAGTGTCCCCAACTGGGTAATCCATTCTGCTTCCTTAAAAACTTTCCTGGCTCTGACACTTTGTACCTCAAAAGCAGCACCCTGGAACACCACAGTCATGTAATTATTATAAGTTTTGTACAAAGGATGCCTTGTGAGGGATCATTTTTAAAGTCTTAATCTGTTGAACATTAATAGCCTGTTGGATTGTGTGTGCTATCGTCGTATGGGAAGTTATGGAGTACTGCTGTATGTGTTACTGAAATATGTGGCGAGGTTGGGCACACCCACAACCATCCTTTCACTTATAACAAAGGAGTGGCCATCCATAGCCAGATGGGCGATTAATGGCTCGTCAACATCCAACCCACTATTCCAGAGACTTCTCTGAGAAGGCAGGTATGTAATGGAGACTGCTTGACCAATGGGGACTGCCTGAGCCCCACGTCACAGCACAGATCTTTCCATCAAGCTGGAAGAAAGTATAAAAGTGGGGAAGTGACATCATCACATGGCCTCTCCCCCCTCTCCATCTCAACACCTGGAAGCACAACTGGAAGACAAACACTTTGAACGGAGGGAAGTTTGGTCCCAGGCTGGAAGGTGTTAGAGGGCTTTCCCTCAACCCTCCCACTTTCCTGGTTCTTGTCACGCAGACAGCAAGCAGCAAAAGACCAGAAGTCCGAAGTGCAGACAATGCGATGGTTAATGGGGTTACTTCCAAACATATCCAGAGCTCTACACACCAGCAGAGTCTGTTTCCTAGTGTTCCGTTCCCAGCTCTGACACCACAGAGCGTTTACCCCATGTCCCCATTCCCTAATTCCCACCTCCTCCTCCTTAGCAGGCCCAAATAGTCCTGCAATGCACGCCCATAGTCCCACCCCTTACAACTTAGGGTCATGTTCCATTTTGGGTCTGGGGGTCTTCATCCCACCCCTTTTGCACCCCATGGGAGGGGTAAGGAGTGAGGTTGTGCTGCAGTCAGGGACAGGCATTTCTTTGGTCTTTTAGTGTTTTATACCTCCCGCCCCTTTGCCCCTCCCGACTGGTTGCTTGACTTTGCCTTGAGATAGGGGTTGAGACAGTCTTCCAGTGTGCTCTCAAGTAACACTTCAACTGCTCTTATCTGTTCCCATTGTACTAATTGTACAACTCCAGCTGACTAGGCAGAATCAACATCACCGTGTCTTTCTCCCTTGCTTACACATTTTAGTATAAACAACGAGGAGTCCTTGTGGCACCTTAGAGACTAACAAAGTTATTTGGGCACAAGCTTTGGTGGGCTACAGCCCACTTCATCAGATGCATGGAGTGGAAAATACAGGAGCAGGTATAAATACATGAAAAGATGGGAGTTGCCTTACCAAGTGGGGGGTCAGTGCTAACGAGGCCAATTCAATCAGGGTGGATGTGGCCCATTCCCAACAGTTGACAAGAAGGGGTGAATATCAACAGAGGGAATATGACTTTTTGGAGTGCTAACGAGGTCAATTCAATCAAGGTGGATATTGGACTTTAGCATTGCCAGTGTAGACTAGCCCTCTGTCTTAAAAGGAAGACAATTAACTTCCACCAGAGTTCTGATTATTTTTCACTTTTAACTGCTGCTTCTAAAACACACAGCTATTGTGTGCATTTCTTTTACCCCTTCTACAATAGACACTGCACATGTCCTGGGAAAATGCACATCCCTCCACAGTTCAACTCTACATTCTATTAGCCACATCAACTTTCACACAAGGTGTAACTGCCTCCCCCGCACCCACAGAGATCTCATGCACCCCCAAAGTGACAGTTTGATCACCCAGAGCCACCCCAGGGCTCAGTGTTCCCAACATTGCCCCCCTTTCCCTTCTCTTTTTTTTCCTGTGCGCACACAAAAAAGATCCAGAATGTCTCCCGCATCCCCTGGCCCCGGCCGCCTCCCACCACAGCCACGACTTTGGTCTTTATTTAAAAACATATTAAACTTTATAAAGCATTGAGGTACCTTAAGGGTTAAAGGCTAAATATCATAGCCAAACAACACGAGTTACCTGTGTCTGGTAAAAAGTATCTGTCAATTTTACAACTTTGAATGAAAGATTCAAATGGATTTTTAGTGGCATTATTTAAAAACAAAACCAAACCAATTCATCTTAAACCTACAAACAGGACTTTACAAACCAGGAGTGTTGGTTTAGGTCAGAGGTGGGCAAACTACAGCCCGCGGGGGACCGTCCTGCCCTGCCCTTGAACTCCCGGCCGGGGAGGCCATCCCCCCTCCCACGCAGCCTCAGCTCGCTGCGCCGCCAGTGCTCTGGGTGGTGTAGCTGGCTCCGACCGGGCCACCCGGCTGCGAGCTCCTGCCACTCTGAGCGGCATGGTGAGGGGGTGGGGAGTGGGGGGGTTGGATAAGGGGCAGGAGGTCCCAGGGGGCAGTCAGGGGACAGGGAGCAGGTGGGGTCCCTGGGGGGCGGTTAGGAGTGGGGGGTCCCGGGAGGGGGCTGTCAGGGGACAAGGAGCAGAGGGGGGTGGGGGGGGGGGGGGGAGGGGGGGGGGGGGGAGGGGGGCGGGGGCCAGGCTGTTTGGGGAGGCACAGCCTTCCCTACCCGCCCCCCCATACAGTTTTGCAACCCCGATGTGGCCCTCGGGTCAAAAAGTTTGCCCACCCCTGGTTTAGGTCCTTAAAATCTCACATAATTACACAAAAAGATTCACACACAACACTTCTCTTTTGCCCAACACCCCTTCCACTGCTTTTATTATTTTTTACACAACTGTACCCAGATTACACTCCCATCTTGGACAATCAGAGACAGTCAAGTTAATAGAAACCCCTTATGTTCCTTTAGCGATTTTGATTAACTCGTCCAATAGTCAAATAATATAGATCAGAGTATCTGGCTGCCGGCTGCCTGCAACAGTCCTTTACAGACCATTTCTGTGGGAAAAGGGCCCATTTTCCCTCAAAATAGCTATAAAGGCTCCTGGGGACAAAAATACAGTGGTGGTAGTAGCCACCTGACCCCCTTGTGTAATTTGTTGAACTACCATAGTTCTACCCAATGTGACTGCCGAGTTGCACACATAATTACATTTACGTAACTGGGTTTTATCATCGAACCAAAAACTTCCTTCTTCGAACACCAGAACTGTTCCTCTTTCACGTCTTCACAACCGTTACCTTTTCACATTTCCACAACTCCCAACCGTTTACTTCCCTCCAAATTCCCCCCAAACTCTGTAGTATTCATGTCCGCAAACAACCGCCTTTTACCCTGTGCTGTCTTTACCTCGGGATCGTTCAAAAAGGCAGTAAAACACTTTTATCTTCATGGCCACCCCTGGATCTTTTACTCTAAAAGTTTCAGCGGACTCCAGTAGACTTCCCTCATGATTTTCCCGAAACCAAACAAACATTTTACATGAATATCTAACGTGCTCTCCATTAAAACTTCAGAAAAACCGAGAGAGAGAGCGAGTGAGTGAGTGAGTGTGAGTGTGAGTAAAGCAACCAATTCACCCTGTGCAGTTATTTTAAAGTACAGGCTAACAGCAGCAAATTAAGCAAACTGAGGAGGAGGAGGAGGAAAAGAGGGATATAATTAGCTCTGAGCACAGGGTAGGGCTCCCTAAGTTTAAACAGTTGGACACTCTTACCCCAGGTTTTTATCCTGGCTCTGGGAGAGGAGTGGGGGTTGTTACTCGCTCCTGCCATTTTTCACTTTGAAACTTTTTTTTTTCTCCGCTCCCCTAGGATCAAGTCCCAGCTCCTCTCCCTTAAGGTGGTCTGTTAACTCTGCTTTTGATCCCAAAGCCTGTTGTGCCAAATCATCTTGAACCACCCCTAACTTTAATTTACAATCCTCCAGTAGCCTTTGCTGGAAGAGCACCAAACTTGAAAGATTACCGACGGCTTCCCATCATGCTGCCTTTACCTCAAACCTCTCACAAGCGGCCTTGAGTGCCTCCTTGCCCTGGAAGGCATCCTGTCCCCATGGGCAGGGACCTCCTTCTGCTACCCATTTACCAAGGAGGGTGGGCGCCACAGCCAGCCCCCATCCCTCTGGGTCCCCTAACACCATCCCCATTTCCTTCTTAATCTCATCCCAGGTTGACCCCTGTTCCTGGAATGGGCCCTGATTCTTCCATATCCACTTATCCAAAAAATCCATTACCCCAGCTTGCAAGGACCCACAACTACCATCATGAGAGCCTACCATATCCCCGCCAAGCAGCCGCACGGACTGTTGGGGAGGGGGACTTACCTGGCTGCTACTCACCTGTCCAATGTGATGCATCCGAGTCACGGCACCAAGATGTTAGAGGGCTTTCCCTCAGCCCTCCCACTCCGCTGGTTCTTGTCACGCAGACAGCAAGCCGCAGAAGACCAGAAGTCCGAAGTGCAGACAATGCGATGGTTAGTGGGGTTAGTTCCAAACAAGCATCTCCAGAGCTCTACACGCCAGCAGAGTCTGTTTCCCGGTGTTGTGTTCCCAGCTCTGACACCCTGTATGTGCAGCATCAATGGTCAGGAGGTCTGTGCAGTGCCCAGCCCAACGGGGGCCCCGATTTCAGTCAGAGGGTGTGTAGTACCCAGTACCAGGGAAGCCTTGATCTTGCTCAGGGTCTGTGCAGCACAATGGGGGCCCCAGACCTGGTTGGGGGCTATGCAGCACCTGACAGAATGGGCCCCTAATCTCGGTAAGGGTCCATGGAGTACCCAGTGGTCCGATCTCAGCGGGGACCAAGGGCTTTTATAACAATTATCCCTCTTCTACACACGGAGAAACTGAGGCATTCGCCAAAAGTCAGAGCATCAGCCCATGGCAGAGCCCCATTCTCCTGAGTGCCAGCGAGTTCCTGTGCTATCACAACCCCACAGCAAGGA